TAAGAGTGGTCCCCAGGGTTCTCTGAGCACTCCTTGGAAGAAAAAGAGAAGAAAACGAGCGTCACTTTTTAAATTTTTTCTTAAGTTTGGGGCCACCCCTGGCAGTGCCGAAGGGCTACTCCCAGCTTGGTACTTTGAGGGACTCTGGTGCAGGAGACCAAGCCTGGGCCTCCCACATGCAAAGCATCTGCTTAGGCCCTTGAGCCATCTCTCTGGTGCTACTTGGACGATCTTCTAAGATGGCCTTATCAAGCAAGAGGCTGGTCGAGGGAGTTTGAGGTGGGCCAGTGCCTGGACACTAGAGATACCAGCGGGAGGTATGGGCTCTCATTAGGAAGCAAAGGAGGAATCCAGTGGCAGGTACTGCCATTTGATGACTGTCAAGTCGAAGAAGAACCGCAGGGGAAAACTCTACCCAAAAAGGAAAAGTAGAGGGAGATTGATTTTTGCTCAAAGTAAGACAGAAAGGTTTAGCACTTAGAGTAGTCCCAGAATAGAACAAGCGTTGCCTGTGCTGTTGGTGACGACAACTGGTGGTAATGGTTTCCCTGTCTCCCACCCGCTCCCTCTCTCTGCTCTCTGCACCATTTGCATTTAAACACTGCTTCTTATGTTAAAAATAACCCTCCCTCCACCCCACCCTTTTCTCCTCCTGCCTCCTGGTGCCTCCCTTCTTCTTAGCACCCAAGTCCCTTGAAGGAGTGAGTCATCACATCCCTTTCCACATCCTCATTCACTCTCGGCCCACTCCAGTCTGGCTCCCACCCCCACTACTTCTTCAAAGCCTCTTGCCGAGTAGACAGTCACTGCCACTGAATCCAACTAGACGGGTCAGTAACCTGATCTTCGTGGAAACTCTCAGCAGTTTTGACACCACTGACCATGCAGCCGCCTCCCTCCTCTTTTTTCCTTAGCTTTCTAGAGACCTTCTCCTGGGTTTCTTTGGATTTCTGTGCCCACCCTCTGGGACTCTTTCAGGGACCTCTGTGCTCCCCATCACAATCAGGTTAGTGTGCCTTTGTGGTCTAAGCTCCTTGCCTTTTCTTCTTTATCTTCTCTTCTTGGCCAGTGCAGTTACTTTCATGTTCTGGCCTCTGTCCACACAGCTCCAGACACATGGATTCAGTTACCCACTACTACGTGCCTTCCTTTCCGAACTCATATTCCACCCCAAATGAGGTTTTCTTCTCCATTACCCAATAAGACTTTCCATTGACCATCATTTACCCAAATCCAAAACTTACTGCATTCCTTTCCTCCTTTTCTCCTTCATTCTCCCTCATCTATTCAGTTGCCGAATCCTGTTGCCTTTTCGTTTTGTTTTTTACTTTGAAGCCTCACCCAGCGATGCTAAAGGCTTTCTCCTGACTCTTGCTCAAGGATCACCCTGAGTGGGCTGTAGGGACCATCGGGGTGCCAGAATTGAACCTCGTTGGCTACATGCAAGGCAAGTACCCTACCTGCTATACTGTCCCTCCATCCCTGCATGGCGTTCCTCCTGACATGTTGCTGGGGCGTCACCCTCAGCCACGATTGCGGCATTATGTCATGTGGGAGAAAACCTGGACCTCATGCATGCAAAACACTCTAACCCTTTATCTATCTCCCTGGTCTTTCTTCCTCTTTTAAAAAACTTAATTGAGATGTAAGTTATGTATCATAAAATCACTCATTTTTTAAAATTTTTATTTTTTGCTTTTTGGGTCACACCTGGCAATGAACAGGGGTTACTCCTGGCTCTGCACTCAGCAGTTACTCCTGGCGGTGCTCAGGGGGCCATATGGGATGCTGGGAATCGAACCCGGGTCGGCTGCATGCAAGGCAAACGCCCTACCCGCTGTGCTATCTCTCCAGTCCCAAAATCACTCATTTTAAGGACTTGTTTTAATGATTTTTAGTAAATTTGCTTAGTTGTGCAACCATTAGCAAACTCAGTTTGAGATTATATTGGGTGTGTTCAGGGTGGTTTGGTCAGATAGAACATAACCCAGTTCTAGAACCTTTCACTATTCCAATAAGATCTTATTCCAATAAGATCCCTCATTCTTGTTTTCAGTCACTCTCCATTCCTAAAGTAGAGAATTCCCACCAATATCTCTGCTTCTATAATATAATTTGCCTTTTCTAGATAATCTTCCTTAAACTCAGTACAGTGGATTCTGTAGTTTAGCACTAGATACCCTGACCAAGACTCTTACCATAGACATGACGAGTCAGAACATGATCTTAAGAATGCTTAACTTAAGATCATGCAAGGTCATGCAGTTAGTAAGTTGACAGAGCCAAGCTTGAACCCAGTCTCTTGCCAAAGTAAAGGGAGGGAGTGAAACCATCCAGGAACCTAATGGGTCATCCAGGAGAGAATGGACGATAATTTGCACTGAGTGGTGATGATGTAGAAGGGAGAAGTAGAGTGACAAGTAATAAGACAAGACAACAGGACTTAATGGACTGGAGCAAAGGCACAGCAGGTAGGGTGCTTGCCATACATGCAGCTGACCTGGGTTTGATCCCTATCACCCCATATGATGCCAAGAGTAACTCCTGAGCACTGCCAGGTGTGGCCCAAACACGCCTCTACAAAAAAAAAAAATCCTTGTGCACTGTTAGATATGGCCCCAAATCCAAAAAGAAGAAGAAAGTGATTTCTAAAATTCACTGAACACTTCATACTATCTCTTAGAGGACCAACACTCCAGCGTCTTTTTGAACATTTTACATCAAGAGCAACACTAAGGGAACAGAAATGACCCAAAGAAAAGATGTTGGGGCTGGAGTGATAGCATAGTGGGTAGGGAGTTTGCCTTGCACACGGCCAACCCAGGTTCAATTGATTCCCAGCATCCCATATGGTCCCCTGAGCACCACCAGGGGTAATTCCTGAGTGCAGAAGCAGGAGTAACCCCTGTGCATCCCTGGTGTGACCCCCCCCCAAAAAAAAAAGAATGAAAGAAAGAAAAGATGTCAGCTAGCTATGGCTGAGGACATGGGAACGTGATCACAGACATGGGCCGCCTCTAACAATACTGTTTGGGACTGGGTTTGGGATCTCAATCACTGCTGTCCCCTGAATAATCGCTCCCAGTGCTCCCAGATCCAGATCGCTGGAACCTATAAAATGAGTATATTTAGGGAAAGGGTCTTTGCTGACGTGATTCTGAGATGGTGAGACTCTCCACATGACCTTTCATGTGTCCTTATCAGAGAGGGAGGGAAGATTGCACACACACACACACACACAGAAAGGAGGAAAAAGTTTGTGAAGATGCATCAGGGAGAGCCAAACATTCTGGCCTTGAAGACTGGAATGTTGGGCTACAAGCCAAGGAACACCAGCCGCCCCCAGAAGCAGAAAGAACCTGGGAAGGATGGGCCTCAGGATCCACCTCAGAACCCGAAGAGGAAGCGTGGCCTGGCGACTGACACCTCGGTGTCGGCCCCAGAACTGAGAGGATAAATTGCTGCCTTAACTCACCAAGTTTGGGGTGATTTGCTGCAGGAAATTAACACCTGGGCGAGAGAACAAGCAGAAGCCTGAAGACGGCATGTTTAACATTTAAAAGTCATAACAGACTTTAAAATAAAATGTGTTCGCTCATCTACCCTGACAAATATAACTTCATTAAAATCTGGAATGCCAGACTTAAATTTAGAATTCTTGGCACCTCGGGATCCTGCGCTGAAGCACAAGCTCTCGTTGAAGCCCTTGGACACGCCCCTCCCGGCTCCTCCCACCTCCGGCTCCTCCCACCTCCGGCTCCTCCCACCTCCGGCTCCTCCCACCTCCGGCTCCTCCCACCTCCGGCTCCTCCCACTTCCGGCTCCTCCCACCTCCGGCTCCTCCCATCTCTCTGAGCGGCCTGGGGACAGGTATGTGGAGCCACCGGACCAGACCGAAGGCCCAGGTTCCCGCCACCATCTACCACGTAGAGCTACTCCGTGGTCATGACCTTGGGGGTAGATACCCAGGGTGGGTTCTCTGAAGCTGTTCAAGACCGGATGGAAAGAGAGCACGGGGAGATGCATATGCGGAGCGTGGTGGGACAGGAGTGCAGCTCTGGGTGCAAGCATTCTGCCCCTGGACACGGCGGCATTCTAAAATGACCCATTTCAGGACCAGATCAGAGGTGGAGGATGGTGATGATGGTGACGATGGTGGTTCGGCTTTGGGGCCACACCCCGCCGTGCTCCGGGATCATTCCTGGCAGGGCTCAGGGGACCATCGGCGAAGCTGCTGATGGAACCCGGATCTGCCCCCGCCCGAGGCCAGTGCCCTACTGTTGCTCTGCCCCGCTCCTCTCCCCACCTTCCTTTCTGTGGTGCCAGGCACTGGACCCAGGGCCTCAAACATGTGGTGCTTGTGCTCTGTCCCTCAGCCACATCCTGTGTCTAGTGTGGGATTTCTTCCTGAAGCTATGAAAATATTCTCAGCCCGATTGTGATGAGCTTCCTGTGGTCAGACAGCTCAGTGAACACACGAAATGCCATGAATCACACACTTTAAATGGGAGCTTTGTGTCGCATGCACGCGGTATCGCAGCATGCTGTTGGAAAAAGGAGCAGGAGGCACCTGCTGGATGCTGGGGACTTAAAGTTCCAACTTCAAGTGTGGTGGGATCCCATCCCCGTCAGCGGTGATGGTGCAGAGAGGGGCCTGCATTACCACCAGGGGCATCCCGAACCCAGCTCCTCCCTGGGGAACTCAGGGCACTGCCCTGCTTTTTCCCGCCTTCCTTGGGCATGCATGCCTGGCTCGCCCTGGCAGTCCTGGGGTAGACCCAGGCTTTCCTTCCCTCGCCTCCTGTAATCTTTCCCTGCCGCAGACTGCCTCTGGGTCTCTCCGTGCCTGCTGCTTCCCACCCCTCCTCTGCAGCCAGACTGCCTGCTTACAGAGAGATTTTTAAGCCATATGGAATTCAGGCTCGGCCCGGGAAGCTGCACCTCAGGGGTCTCTGCTGTCAGCTACAGCAGAGTTGGGGCAGCGCCCACACCATACTTACATAATATAGGAGGACATGCTGATGTGGAGGATCCACTTAAAGATGCCATATTTCGTGTTCCGGATCTGGATGACTTTGTTCGTCTCGTGCTGTAAGACATAGCTGCAGATACAGCAGTCTGGCATGGTGCGGGGTTAACGCTCTGCTCGGTTCTGGACCTGGGCCCAGCCCGCCGAGCCTGGGCACTCCTGTCCACCAAGATCAAAAAATGAAACTTTCCCAGTGCTTAGCAGGAACCTTGAAGTTTGCGCTCCTCCAATGATAGCGGAGGGGGGGGGGGGAGGGGGGCGGGGGGGGGGCTGGGGGGGGGGCCGGGGGGGAGGGCTCTGGCAGCTGGCCCAGATGTGACTGATCATAAACAAGAGAAGTCATGTCCTATAGGCCAGGCTGGCAGATGACCCCGCCTCCGCTGCCTCCCTCAGATACCAGCACAAAGATGGTGTTCAGAGGAAGAGCGTTTTTTAGAATATTCCCTTTCCTCACTTCCTGCTTTTCCCATTTCCCTTTTGCTTTTTTTTTTTTTTTTTTTTTTTGCTTTGGTCTTGTTTCAGCTGGGGGAGACTGACAACGCCACAAATAAATATCAAGGGAGTCGCCCAGTGCTCCCATTGTGCGTTAGTGAAAGATCTAGATCTTTCCATCGCCTCAAGCCCGAGTAGAAACTGATGGATTCATTTCAATAACTCTTTATTCAGCTCCAGATGTTTCTGAACTCTGGATGCATGAATGCCTTCCCAACCTCCTCCCCCACTTCTGTTTTGGAAAATAGGGGCCATTCCCAGCACTGCTTGTGGGTTGGGGGCGGGGGGGGGGGGGGGGGGGGGGGGCAGGCAGGCAGTGTCTGGGATTGAATTTAGGGCCTCACATATGCTAGGCACAGCCCTGGCCCCTCCGCTACACTCTCACAACTCTCCCATCTGTAGCTGGCAGGGGGAATGAGTTTAGTGAGGGAAGACATTAATTCTATGCTGTCTATTTCCTGCATGACCTCTAGATTTCTCTCCACACTGTTCTGGGTTCCAGGAAGGGATCCCAGGACTTAGCCCACCTGAGGAACCAGCTTGTTATCCATATGATTAGGTTTAGGGTGAGGGACACGGCTCCATGGTAAAGCACATGTTTTGCATATGTGAGGTCTCAGAAGCCATTTCCCATCTGCAGGGAGGAATGAACATAATTATTCTATGAAATCTTTCAGTGGGGGGAGAGCGTGTGCGAGAGGGGCTACAGGAAACCCGCAAAGGATTGACGTTACCAGATTGGGGAGATGGAATTTAGATGAACTTAAATGAGAGCAGGGTTGATAGGCTGAAAGCAAAGCGTTTCTCTGAAACGCTTCATTTTTGTTCTGGATTATGGAGTCAGAGCCCAGTTTCCTTGGGTGCAGTAAGGAAACTATCTTGTTCCTCAGAGAGTTGGGGAACACTATGTCCAAAACCCCACATCTGAGGCCCCGCACCTGAGTGCAAACCAAGCTGCTACTTGGTGTCAAGGTGACATCAGAGAGTAGAATATTTCATTCATGCTGATGCAGTTTCAAATGCCTATTTGATAGTTTGATCCTTTTAGAGGAGAGTTTGTCACTAAGAAAGAAACGACCTCAAGAAATGAGAGTAGGTGGGTGTGACCAAAAGCCAAAAACAACACCAACACACAGAGATTGTAATGAGACAAGGCATCACTTGGCTGGAGTGATAGCGGGGAGGGTGTTTGCCTCGCACGTGGCCGACCTGGGTTCAATTCCCAGTATCCCATATTGTCCTCCAAACACCGCCAGGAGTAATTTTTGAGTGCAGAGTCAGGAGTAACCCCTGAGCATCGCTGGGTGTGACCCAAAAAGCAAAAAAAAGGAAAATAGAAGAAAGAAAGAAATGGGAGTAGCGGCCAGAGAGGTAGTACAGCAAGTTGTGCACTTGTCTTGTGTGACACTGGCCTGGACTCGATTCTTGGCGCCACATATGGTCCCCTGATCCCCATCAGGAGTCATCACTGAGCACAGAGTCAGGAGTAAGCCCTGAGCTGCTGGTGTAGCTCCCCCAAACAAGAGTCGATTGCTTGGGGGGCTAGAAGCTGATTTAGATTTGATCCTGGCACTACATACGGTCCCCTGATCCTGTCAGGAATTGTCCCTGAATAAGAAGCCAGGAGTAAGCCTTGGCAACTGCCAGATGTGGCACAAAAAACAAAACTAAAAGCCAAAAATCATCTACTATTTGGGTCTGAGAGATAGTACAGAAGCTGAGGCACTTGCCCTGTGGTTCTCTGTGTGTAAGGGCAAAACTGATGCCATGAAAGGCAACAGATATAAGAAAAATCGTTTTTTTTCCCCTTCAGGTTCTTTTAGGAACTTCAGGTTCAGTTCCTGGAACTGAAACAGATTCAGTTTCCCAGCAATAAGACAATGCGTAACTAGCCAACCTGAACCTACCTGGGAAAGTTCCTGGCCTCAGCAAGTGGGCTCAATTAATCAATTCTCACAATGCCCGGGAAGTGGCTTTTTGTTAACCCTGAAAGAATGAGAAGTCTATGTAATCATAAAATTGGTACTGATACTGAAAATTATTGTTTTATTGTTGCCTACCCTCTGTTAGCCTAGACACTTGCCAAAACACCTTTGTTTGGTAACTAAGTAAGATTCTTTTCTGAAACAATAAGGCATGTACTGCTTATGTAATCAAACCCTACATAAACTGCTTGCTGTCTGAAGTTGGGGTTGCTATCAAGAGAAGAGACCACTCTGGGGGCTGGAGCAATAGCACAGCAGGTAGGACATTTGCCTTGCACAGGGCCGACCTAGGTTCGATTCCCAGCATCCCATATGGTTCCCCTGAGCATCACCAGGAGTAATTCCTCAGTGCAGACATAGGAGTAACCCCTGTGCAACGCCAGGTGTGATTGCCCCCCCCGAAAAAAAAAAACAAAAAAGAGAGAGACCACTCTGAGGGTAAGATAGTTGACCTCAGTATACTGGAATAAAACTCCTACTCCTTTTGCATTATTGTGTTAGTGTCTCTGTTCGTCCTGCTGCTAGTGAACCCAGATTCCCGGGCTTAACATGTGTCTGCTGTGACCCTGGTTTAAATCATTGACACCATATATACTTCCTCAGCACTATCAAGCGTCATTCCCGAGCAGAGTCAGAAATAGCCCTGGAAACTTCCAGTTGTGGCCCAAATTTAAAAAAAAAAATTAAAAAGAGTATACTGCTTAGCCCGACAAGCTACTGAGAGTATCTCGCCCGCACGGCAAAGCCTGGCAAGCTACCCGTGTTGTATTTATATACCAAACACAGTAACAATAAGCCTCAAAATGGAGACGTTACTGGGCCTGCTCGAGCAAATCGATGAACAATGGGAGGACAGGACATACTGCTTAAGGATATACCAGTTAGGAAAAAGTTTGGTGCCCTGGTATATATATATATATATATATATATATATATATATATATATATTTGTTGAGTTGTGCTAAACCAGTGCTATCTAGAAGGACAGCTTTGAAATTAAATGAAACTTAAAAGTTAGTTCTTTAGTTCACTATCTGTATTCCCAATGCTCAATGGCCAGCTCTGGCTTATTAGACACTGTAGAGCATTCTTCCATTGTAGAAAGGGCATTCTTCCCTACTCTTAATGTTTTTGGCGGTTTGGACCTGGTACTTATTCCTGGCTCTGCGCTTGGGAGTCAGTCCGGGAGAGATGAGGACCATATGGATTTCTGGAGATCGATCTTTGGGTGTCATATGGTATACTAGGACTCGACCTGCGTTGTCTGTGTGCAAGGCAAGTGCCCTACCCACTGTACTATCACTCTGGGGCCATGCAGAAAGTCCTGGTGGACTGCACTGCCGGCAAATTCTGATCAGAAGCAAAGGTGAGTACAGTTTCAGCTAAGTGAGGAAGATGCAAGTTGGATGGCATTAATTTTCCTTGTGAAATAGGTGGCAGATTTGCCGTCTGAGAGAGGAGAAAGAAGACAGAGAGAGTGGATGTTTGAGCATAGTGGAAAAGACTCAAAACAGTTGCTATGGTGAGCGGGAGAAGTGTACCAACCGGGAAAACAGGAAATCCAGGACGGTGTTGAAACTGTTTCTGCAAGTCTGGAGAGTGAGACAATAACAGGCCTGGGGCCTTTTCTTCTTCCTCCCACTTCCAAGTCTGCCAAGTAATGCAGAGGTTGAGAATTGTAATTATTGGCTTCTCTGATGTTTATTATGGTCTTCTAAATATTTTCCTGACACAGTGTGTGAGAAGTTCTGTCTCTGCCTCTCTTTACCCATCAGTTACCCTTGGCAGACCCACAGTGGAGGTCAGGAATCTCCTCTTTCTCCCTCCAACTTAGCACGATCACCAGGAATGGTTCAGTTGATTCTGGATATAATTTCTCTGCTCTGCTCGTGGGTGCTGAATTCATTTTAATCCCAAGATCTCTTCCTTTCACTCCATCCAAGCCACAGTACACATGCTCTTCTAGTGAAATTTAAAATCTGTTTCTTATTAATACCCAAGAATAGCTGAGATCAACACCAGGAGGATTAGCTTAGAGGCCAGCCGGGCATTCTAGGGGAAAGGGCAGCTCAGAGAGAGAAGGGAGCACCAAATAAAGGGTGTTTGGAGGATCCTCCCAGGAGGGGAGATGCATGTTGAAAGTAGACTATGGACTGAACATGTTTGCCACTCAAAGCCTCTTTTGCAGACCACAACACCCAATAAGAGAGAGAGAGAACAAAAAGGAATGCCCTGCCACAGAGGCAGGGTGAGATGGGAGGGATGGGGGTGGGAGGGATATTATCCATGGTGGTGGAAAATGGGCACTGGTGGAGGGATGGGTATTTGATCATTGTATAATCGAAACCCAAGCACAAAAAAATTGTAAATCTACAACTGTACCTCATGGTGTTTCACTAAAAATAATTAAAAAAATATATATATATATAAAATAAAATCTGTTTCTTTGTCAAGACAATAGACCTCTCTGAAAATAATTGAGGTATTTTGCATTACTGAATCCAGGGGCTGGAAAGGGATAGAGAAAAGGAGTGTTCTCTTGTAGTGGTGGTGTGAGGCCCAAAAGCCGGCTCCTCAGAAGCCATGACAGGCTATAGCTAACATTAAGTCTCAGCTAGG